GCAGAGATGTTAATATTTGGCACAGAAAGCAGGATGGTTAGGTGGGGCGGGGGGGAGGTGGGGGGTATTAGAAAAGCTCTGGCTTTCCTCTGTCGCAGAGCTTTTGCAGCAATGAATAAATAAGTAAATAAAATGTTTAATTCCTGCAAGCGGGGTTGCAGCCAAGAAAACTGTTCTGAGAGATTCAGATTTATGGCACAAAACACTGCTGAGAGAAAAAGCAAGAGACAGAGACAGAGGAGTTCCACCTCCCGTGATATATAGAGCCAAGGGGAGGTATAAATACCCGCCACTTCCCGGACCCTCTTTTAAAAAAAAGACAAACACCCAGGATCCTGTCTCTGGCTGCCTTGCAGCGAGGCGCCCTCATAAAAGCTAAGATAAACAGTTTATCAGCAGATGAATGCACAAGCCCTGTTCTAAAGACAAGAGTCTACACCGTAGGAAAAAGCAGGAGCGAGAGGAGAGCGGGCTGAGAATCAGGGAGGTGGAGTATTTGAAGAGCAAGAACGACGTGAAAGGAGAAAAATAGAGCAGTTCTTTAAGGACCTTGCAAGACTTTCTTCTCTTCTTTGGCAGCCTTTGCTCTCTTTTTTTAAGGATACATTTGGCAAGTGTCAAGTCTGCTCTTTCCATATAGCTGTACTTATTGAGAACTAAAACCTTACATTTTTATTGGGGGGGGGGGCCTGTCTTTTTTCTTTTTTCTTCTTTTTATTGCTTTAACACATCGGTCATCCTAGGATTTACTCCACCGTAAAACATTCATCCCAGAGCTTAGTTTCAAAATACATTATTTATATGTCATTTGTCACTGCAGATGCAGCTTCTTGACCAAATGCATCCATCCCTGTTTCCATTCTCTTGGGATTTCAAGGCAGAACTTTGCTCTCTCAAAAAACTGTTTACCTTCCAAAGTATGTGATTCAGAACTGTTTTCTTTCAGAGTAGCTGATCACCTACTAACATTGTGTAGTCCATTAAAACACTCCTCATTCTGTGTTTGAATTGGGAAAGGGAAATGGATGAGGTACCATGAGATGCAGCACTGTTTCTGAGGTCTGGCTGGAGCTTCCCAAGCCTTGCCAGCCTAAAGGACAGCTTGTTTGCAAGCTGTGGAACAGATAAGGTCACCTGCAGTGCCTGGAGCCCCAGGTGAGCTCACACGTGGCCTGTGAGAGCTAGAAGGTCAGTTGGGAAGTTTGCCGTGGGGCGTATAAGAACTATGTAAAATGTGCATCTCCTTTACAAATCTTCTAGGGATTCACAGTTTAAAAGAAAACAAGTTGAAAATGCGTTCTTGAGTTTCTTACAAAGTGCATGGGATTGTGATCAAAGAACAGGGAGTTGGTCCAGGAGCTAACTAGGAGATAAGACTGCACCTGAAGTGACTTCAGTTCACTTTCCTGCTCTGTCAGTCAGAAATTTTCTCTGTAATTTTAGCAAGACTTTGGACTTTTTCCTTTGTATTGATACAGGAGGAAACTCTAGTTGTGCTTTGCAGCATCACTGTGAAAGAGGCAAGAACCAGCATTGCTGCTGTATAGATAGGGAAGCACAGAGCTCTGAAACATACTGCCTGAAGCCTGATGGGCACAGGACTTCTCTGGCTGTGCTGTCGGTTTTGCTTCATTTAACAAACAGTCATTGTCTGATCTGCAGGCAGGTTCTTGAAAATAAGAAGCGAGAGGCAATGAGTTCCTGATCTACGTTAAAATAATCTGTAAGGGAAACAAGAACAGTTGTGAGGAAGCTTTCTCTGCTAAGGAGGACACAGCTTTTCTGAGCACACCTGGCACGGTTTCTCCTCTCCCAGCTTTGGGTGGTTTATTCCTTTCTGTGAGGTTTGCTCTGCTGTAGAGGTGCAGACTCACTTAGAGCTCACAGTGGCTCAGCCCTTGCACTGCGTTCAGCACGAAGGCCCTGAGCCCTGGGGTGGCTCAGCAAACACGGTCAGTTTCTCTGGGCAGATTTAACGGGAAGCAAATTGCTCTGGAATTCTCTCTGTGAATCCTTGTGGGCTGCGATCAGATCCTTAACATAATGTGTTTTCAGAGCTGTGCCTCCAGAGTCCCAGCAGGGCAGCTGCATGTTTCTTCTCTCCTCATCAGCACTGTGACCCTGCAGGAGCAGCATCTCCAGCAAGCCCACATTGGCTTCCTGTGTGCCTTGAAAGTTGTATTTGCTTTGTCTACTGAAAAAACACATTTTTACTACTGTCAGCACTCCAGAACCAATAAATTTGAGGCAGAGGGAGTTGTTTCCTCCTCTGCTCCATGCACCATTGCCAGTAGAGTGACCAGCTCGGTGCTGCCTGAGCTGCTGGCCTCTGGCCCTATCCCAGGCAGGGCTGGCATCATGCACCAACTCTGGATCAGGCCCTTTACCTCTGGGTTTCATTTATTGCTGTTTTCAGCAAACCCCGAACTAAACCAATTTGATGGGGATCCAAATCTCTTTTCCCTCTGACCCAGAGGCTTCTGGCAGAGCTGTTACTGGCAGCTCTCCCCATCCTGCTATCAGCCATTCCGCCGAGAAATTCTTGGGCCGTGAGTGACTTCTGTCACTTCTGCTTTCCTCGAGCTCGTGCAGCCTCGCCAGCAGCGCGCTGCTCCTTGCAGACACCTGGCCTGGCGCAGGCACAGCCCGGAGCAGCCCGCTCTTCCTGCAGCCCCACAGCTGCAGTGCGGCACGGGAGGGTCAGGGCTCCGTGGTTTTGAGTGCAGAACTTGAAGCACACAGCTGGCGTGAACAGGCAGGACACAGGCTTCGTAGGCTTTATTTTTAGACTCTGAGACTGGTCGTTAAAAAAATTGTTTTCAAGTACCAACGGAGTAAAACTGAATTTGTTATGAAAGCAGAAATACAGGATGTCAGGAAGTAACTTCAGAATTTTTGCTTTCTCTTCAAAGCAGTTATTTTAACCTGTTGTTTTTGTGTCTTTGTGTTTAAACAAGGTGGCTTGAAAGCTAATTCAGAAATATTTGCAGTGAGTTACAGGTTGCTTTCCCTGTCTGCTCCTTGGCAGTGCTGCTGTACACAATGAGGAGGAACTGGCCCACACCAGTGGCCACTTTCCCAGTAGTTTCATTGGGGAAAAATCTGATCTAACCTAATATTTGACTTCTTTCACAAAAGTCCTTTACGAAGAAGTATGGCAACAAAGACTCCCTGAAAAGAAGGAGAAGGGAGGATGGGATCCAAGGAGGAGCGGTTTCTCTTTTCCTCATCCACTTAACACCGCACATTTCCAACTTGTAGAACTCACAGCCTGAATGAAATCCTTCCCAAAAGAGCTCCACGGCGGAACGAGGCCGGCTGCAGGTGGGAAGGCAGTGAGGGCGGAGAGCAGAGCACCCAGTGTCACTGTCAGCCTCCTTTTCTGGAGCACGGCTTGCGTCAGTTTTCCACCTTCTTTGTGTCACTGTGTTGAATTCAGCCTAGGGAGTGAAAATAGATGATAAAATACAGTTAATTTTTAGAAAAGCAGCTGAACGTGGGTAATACAATTAACATATTACATTCATTAAGATCCTAAATGTGAAGAGTAGCGTTTTAACAAATGCATGAATGATTTAGAAGTGGTTGAGCTTCAGTCCATTAAACTCATGCTCCTAAGCGCCTACGCAGCCCGTAGGATTCCAGCACTGTAGGACGTTTTACGCCCGTCCTCACGGAGCGCTCACTGTCCCTGCCTGCGCGCCGACCGTACCTCGCGATGCTTTTTGTGACACAGCACTTCTGCAGTAGAAGCGGCGTTTGGTGTCAGTCTGTAAAACCTCTCCACGTGCGTAACGTCGAGGCAGCGTTTCTGCCTTAGCTGTACGGATTTGGCGCGGCACCGCGCCGGTGTTTCCGACGGAGCAGCCCCGAGCGCGGCCGTGGGGCTGCAGGGTGCGCTCCGGGCAGCGCTGCAGGAGGGCCGCCGCCGCGCTCCGCCGGGATGTCCGCGGGGCGGCCTCGGCTCGGCTCGGCTCGGCTCGGCTCGGCGCCGCCAGCAGAGGGCCCGCTATGCCCGGCCGGGGCCGGGGCGTCTGCTCTGCCGCGTCCCCGCGGGCGGGCGGGCGGCCAGCCGGGCGCGTAGTGGGAATTACATCACGGGCCCATGTGCGGAGCCGGGCAAACCTTCCGCCCGCGGCCAGGTAGCGCCGCGCGGCGCCGGGGAGCGGCGCGGATAGCGTGGGGCCGCGCTCCGCTCCCGGGCCGCGCTCCGCCGCCCCGCCGCCCCGCCGCCCCTCCGCCGCGCCCATGGGGTGAGCGCCGTGCCGAGCCGCCGCTGCCGGCGGGAGGAGCGGAACGGAGCGCCGAGCATCTCCCGGGGAGCGGCGGGAGGCGGGGGGAAGCGGCGGGCTGCAGCCTTCCCCAGCAGAGGGTGTGTGCGGGGTGGCAAGGGGGAAGCCGCGCTCTCCCGGACTTTTGTGGGAGTGGGGGTTGCGTTGTGCGTGTGGTTTTTTTTAAGGGGGGTGGGGTGGGTTAGAAGAGAGTCTGTGGTTTCCATGGAGATGAAGCTGAAAGTGCAGGAAATTTAAAGGCTTTGGGTCCTCGCGAAGCAGACAAACTGGTGCCAACGTGCGCGGCTGCCGTTGCTGCTGAGGAGGCGGCTTTGCAAACGGCGGAGAGGAGCGGGGAGGAAGAGCCGGCGGCGACTTCTCGCACACGCACGGGCGGACGGCGAGGAGCGGCAGCGGGGAGCGCGACTCGCAACAAAAAGAGGCGTCTGTCTCCTCGTCGCGGGGAGCGCGAAAAGAAGCGGCGGCTGAGGCAGAATTTTGGAGCGGCTCCACCGGGAGAGCTTTTCTCGAGCGGCTTGCGAGGAGCGGGGCCGGCTGTGCCCGCGGCCAGGGGCTGCGTGCGGCGCTGCGGGAGCGGAGCGGAGCCCCGCACGGACAGGCGGTCCGGGATATCCGCGTCCGAGTTTTCTGATGCATTTGCTCGCACCTTCTTCCCCCGCTGCTTGGTGAACCCAGCCCCCCTCCCCCCCCCCCGGCGGTCTCCCAAGGATGGATCATTCCCAGTGCCTTGTGACTATATACGCCGCGGCGGTGCTGCTGGGGCTCCGGCTGCAGCAGGGCTCCTGCCAGCACTACCTGCACATCCGCCCGGCTCCCAGCGACAACCTGCCTCTGGTGGATCTAATCGAGCACCCGGACCCTATCTTTGACCCCAAGGAGAAGGATCTTAACGAGACCTTGCTAAGGAGCCTCATGGGAGGACACTTCGACCCTAACTTTATGGCTATTTCCCTGCCCGAGGACCGGCTCGGGGTAGACGATCTGGCCGAGCTGGACTTGCTGCTGCGACAGAGACCTTCGGGAGCGATGCCCGGCGAAATCAAGGGGCTGGAGTTCTACGATGGGCTGCAGCCGGGCAAGAAGCACAGGCTGAGCAAGAAGCTGCGCAGGAAGCTGCAGATGTGGCTCTGGTCCCAGACCTTCTGCCCGGTCCTATACACGTGGAACGATCTCGGCAGCCGCTTTTGGCCCCGGTACGTCAAAGTGGGCAGCTGCTACAGTAAAAGGTCTTGCTCGGTCCCAGAAGGCATGGTCTGCAAACCTGCCAAGTCCGTGCATTTAACGATCCTGAGGTGGCGGTGCCAGCGGCGGGGCGGGCAGCGGTGCACGTGGATCCCCATCCAGTACCCCATCATCGCGGAGTGCAAGTGCTCCTGCTAGGGCTGCGTGCCCGCCGGGCTGCCGGGGACCTTTGCTGCAACACAAACAAGAGACACTGCTTTCTGGTTAACGTTGTAATGCACTGTAACGTGTAGGAGAATGTATATTGTGTGTATATATGGCACCGTTTTAATATACTATTAAAAGGTCAGTATTATACGTGAAATAATCAGCGTCTACTGTATTTTTAAGACTATTACCCTGATCGTTGCTAATGTATCTTTTTTTTTTTTTTTTTTTTTTTTTTTTGTATTTATATTCCAGAGAGGAGTTGCTTCGCTATGGCGAAGTCGGTTTGTTGTTGTTGTTGTTGTTGTTTTTTAATAAAAGGATTAAAAAAAACCAAACTTTTTGATAAGAAAACCTTTTAAAGCTATTTTCCATTATTCGGAAAGCGTGTTGGTGTGTGTGTTTGTTTTTTCTTCTTACGGACTTCAGGTTAAAAAGAAAACGCCTCGAGCACAATGTTATTGTAAATAGAACGGTTTGAATGACTTAATTCTATGTAAATGAAGAGTATCTGCTATTTATTCTTTATATCCCTGTAGTAAAAGCGCAGAGCAGAATTAAAGTCAACCACTAAAACACGCGCCGTGCGGGTGCTGTTTGCTGTTCGGTGCGGCCGCCTCGCGCTGCTCCGCTCCGCTCCACTCTGCGGGTTCCGCAGCCCGCGCAGCTCCAGCGCCGCGCGCGGGGAAACCGCGGGGCTCCGGGCCGCTGCTCCGGGCTTTTGTAGCCGCTTGACATTTCATTTACAACGGGACACGTGTCTTTCACACCTACCATTGTGGTGGGACGCTGCTGAAACTTGACCCTTGGGCGTTGGGGGTTTGCAGCGCAGACGCGTTATTAGCCCGATCCTGTGACAGCGTCGCACGCCCTCCCCGACCGGCGACAATCGCCCTCACAGCCCATTAACTCTGGGCACCCGCCGGTCCCCGGGTGTTCCGCCGCCGCCGGCAGCGCCCGGGCTGGGCATGGACCCGCTCGTTTCGGCGGCCCCGCGGTGCGGTGCGGTGCGGTGCGGGCGTAGCGCGGCACGGCACGGCACGGCGCTGCTCAGCTCCCGGAACGCCGCTGCCCGGCGCCGTCCGCGTCCCGCCGCCCCCCCGGCTCGGCTCCGGCCGCCCCCGCGTCGCTCTCCGGCTCCGCGGACGCGGAAATACGCCGCGGCTCCGCCAGGACCCGCCGCCGGCAGCGGAGCGCTGGGCCGCGCCGTGCTGGGACGGCCGGCGGTTGTATCTCATAGGTACCGACTGCAAAAACAAACGCTCCACGTGTTCCTCAGAGGCGCCCTGACAGTGCAGAAAGCCTTTTCCTTATTTATCTTGGAATCAAAAACCTTTTTTTTTTTTTTTTTTTTTTTTTTTTTAACTCTCAGGGAATCTATGCTAATCATTCTGCAGCCGCGTGTCTCTCGCTGGCAGAGCCCAGCCCTGCTTTCCCCGGCGCTCAGCTCGCCTATCTCCCAATGCATATTCATTCCCCCTCTCGCTCTCTCGGTGCGTTTTACCGTCCGTCTCTTTGCTTTTAATTTCAGTACTTTAGAAAAAAAAATCAGATCTTGGGACATTTGGGGTATTCATTAACCTAGTGAAGAGGAACAGAGGCATTATTACTCACATAGAAGGCACCCTGCCCCCATGTCTATCTAAGGGTTCATTGTAAAAGGATTAAAAGTTAAAGACCTTCATCTTATGATTCTTTCATTTAATCTTCGTGGCGCCTGAAAGACATGCTGGATGGATGATCACATTTAAAATATTCCTAATGTCGGCTACCTTAGGACTCCAGGCAGGGCAAACAAACGTAATTTATTTCTAGAAGAAAGGGGATATTGAGATGTTTAAGTTTATGAACCACCATTACCATGTATATTTGTTAGGTTCTGACAAATACCCAAATAACATTAAAATCAGCCATTCATCACATATGAATTTATGCAAAACCTTCTATGCCTGGGGCCAATATTTTTTTAGACAGAGTTTCACTTGCAAAGGAAAAAAAAAAAAAGTTTATTTAAAAAAAAAAAAGCCAAAAGCAAGAGTTTTTCATGACTGGTAAACACGAGAATTATGTGAACAGAAACTATTTCATGCTGGGATGGCAGCCAGCGACTCGGGAATGTCAACAAAAGTTCTCCGAAGGTTGAAAGTGTCACTGGATTACAATACGAGGTCCTTCGCCCCATTAGCGAGCGTTACTACGGTCATATTCCCACCGGCAGCGAGGGACTCGCCCCCGATTCATCCCTCGGTGATTCCGCAGTGGGGCAAACAGAGGTGTTGTCTGCAAACCGCCTCTGACTGCCTGCAGATGTGAGCGCTGCTGTGCGCAGGCTGTGCGTGTCCTGCTCAGCAGCACAGCTGGCTCCTGCCTCCAGCTGGTGGGCACTGCGCTCCGTGCGCCCCTCCTCAGCTGGCAGTGCCCCAGCGCTGAGAAATACGGTCACAGTTTGGGTTAAAAAAATCAACTTTCATCCTCCACAAGGCACGTGATTTTTATTATTCTTTTTAAAGAACTAACTAAATTTTGTCAGCTGGTGGAGCAAAAATAAACTAGTTGTTTCCACTGTTCTTTCTGGTCAGGTTCACTTTCTGGTCCTCCTGCCCCAGTGTTGAAATGTTTGGCTTGTAGTGGAAGTGTTTCAAGCCAAACAAATAAAATAGCTTTCTGGTGAATGTTTCTATGCAAATCTTTTTAATATTAGATTTTGTAATATGTTTTTAGAACAGAATTGAATTATGGCTCTTTCGAATTGAAATCAATTCATAACACGGCCAATTTTTGTTTGCTCATCTTTGTAGTGGCACAATAAGACCTCACAGAGACCACTGTGGGGAAGAAATAAGAAGGGAAAGGTTGAAGTTGAGCTTGTAGTTACTTTTCAGTTTCTTTTGCAATTTTAGTGCCTAAAAGTGTAACGTTGGAAATTTAAATTCGTATCCACCTCTGGCACAGAATGCAACCTCAGGTGAGTCTTTACACCTGTGCACACAGCCCCTTGTGAGGAGCTCTTTGCCTTCCCTTTGGCACTGTTAGCTTCCACCCAGCGCTGTCTGCCCGCGCTCACCACGTGTCTGTTCAGAACATGGGGGTAAGGCCCAGCATTCAGGGTGATCTCTTGGCGGCCTTGGATGCAGCATCCAGAGCAGCCAGTGCAGAACAATATCTTATGCAGTATTCTGTTTATCAGAAGTACGTCATGTTTAAAGAAGAGTACGGTGCTGTACTGTAATTCAGAAGTGCCAAGGGTAATGCTGTTGATGAAGAAGAAAATAGAGACCGGAATTAAGTTGTCCAGGAGTCTGTAATAAGCTCATTCAAAGTCAGTCCAGAAAGTGTGAAGAACCAATGAGGAAAATGCATTACTCATACCACCAAAGTGTGGGGTCCTCACACTTCTTCTTATGTGAAAAAATGCATTTGAGTTCTTTTATCCTTTTCAAAATACCACCACAAAGATACATTCTTCAGATTGCACAAGTGCATGGTGCATCGCAACAATAACCGCAGCTAGAAATTGGAGCAGTGCTGTTTGTATAAATACTGGGCGAGTTTTTCCTCTTCCATAGTTTTAATAGAGAAATAATCTTAGTTTAGTAATGTCAACAGCTGTTACAAAACTCCTCACAGTTCACCTTATTCGTTATATAAATGCAATCTGCACCGTGTTGGTTGGATCTTGGATCCAGTAAGAAGATATTCCAGGTCAGAGATTTGCCAGGAAATCTTCATTGGAAGTTGAAATAAATATAATGACGTCATCACATAATGTAACATCACTGCTTTCAAGGTGAGCCAAACCAGAGGTATGTTGGCAGGGGAGCGCTGCCACCTGGTAGAGCCATGCTAGGAATAGATACGATACTCTCATTGCGTGGGGAGGAGAATAGCCACACTCTTCCTGGAGTGCCCACAAGGATCCTGCAGTCTTTCTGTGCGTGTAACTCCTCTGGGAGCCGTGCTGCACACGAGAGCTGCAGAATCCATGTCAATGCTCTCTTTTGAGGGAGCAGCTACAGCGAATTTGAAGAGACCCTTTCATTCCCTCTTCCACGCTCCCAGACCAAGCAAGAAACTCCAATGGTTAAAAGGAAGGGGATGAATACATTCACTTGAAACAACTGTTGGAATGATTCAGAAAGGAACAGAAACATTCAGCAGTCGACATTAAAGACTGTAAATCTGTAGACGTGTTATTGGAGGATCAGCCGTTTGCAGCTATCTTTCGGGAAGGCTTGAGTACCAGTGTGTTGATGTTAAGACTGTGCAGGAAAAAGCTGCTGTGTGTGTGATGTGCTTTCTGAAGAGCGGGACAGCATAGAAGCTGGAAAAGGAATTTGCATGGGTGCCATTTTGCAGCGGTGCTGAGAGGCAGGATGGGAGACGCAGAGGTGGCACCATTCGCCTGTAGCTCTCAGTGGTTACTTCAGATGGAAAGCAGCTGAAGCAGATATTCTGGGGGCTCACTGGCTGTGCCATCCGCCTTGTCTGGGATGTATTTGTGCTGCCATTAAGCATGGGTCAGGACCAGACCGACCTGTGTGGGATTCAGCCCAGCCAGACTGCAGCTGTACAGGGAAGCCTGTCAGTTGTCCCTGTAAGGAGCCCAGCAGCGTGCGGATGCTCTGATGCAGGAGCCATCACTGAGCTGAAGCCAGCAGCACCGACCGAGTGCACACAGGTCTCAGCTCTGCACCGAAACAGACATTCCCCAGGACTCACATCTCTCCCTTAGAGAATCCAGGAGCAGGAGCTGCATCAGATAACCAAAACAGAGTTTGAAAATAGGTTTCACACTCCCTTCTTGATTTTTTTTTTTTCCCCTCCTGAGAGGGGGAGTGGCAAGACTCCCATCACAAAGAACGTTACTCAGAACCAGAACAGATCTTAAGGCACAACACTAAAAACCTGTATGCAATGCAGAAGGACTGGGTGGCTCGAGGGATTGGTAATGGTATAAAGAGCTTTTCACCACTAGGCTTCTGGCTTCGGTCCAGAGGTAGTAACTGAAAGCCACAGTCATCTGATGCCTGCATCGTGGGCTGTGCAAAATGAGTTGTTGGTCTCTGTGTGGATCCTACCAAGCGGGATCCAGATCACAAAGCCACCACCAGAACTGACATTCTTGCTAGGTCTCTCAATCAGTAGAGCAAAATGAAACAGGAATGGGGACATTTGATCTGTGTTCGTGA